CAGGGGTGCCCATTAGGTAGATCGTGATCTACCAGTAGCTCTCAAAGCTGATGCTGGTAGATCACGGAGGGTGTGAATGGCGGCCCCTTTATTCCATTTTGGTATATTTATTTAGCTGTGCACACATGATTACCTATTAGCCTGAGTCTGCTGAGCCAAGCTCCCTGACACCTTTCTGGTGGATACTGGCGGTTGAAGTGCTATGTATTACATTAAAGAATATTAGTTTACACAGCCTGTTGCAAAATACAGCAAGGGGAGCCAGGAGAGAGAGAGAGAGAGAGAGAGCGGGGAGAGACAGAGGAGAGAGAGGAAAGACAGCCAGGAAAGAGAGGAGAGACAGCCAGGAAAGAGAGCAAGGAGAGACAGCCAGGAGAAAAAAAAGGAATGACAGCCAGGAGAGAGAGAGCGAGGAAAAACAGCCAGAAGGATGAGCAAGGGGAGACAGCCAGGAGAGAGAGAGCGAGGGAGTTTTTTTTCCGTTGGTAGATCTCATGTAGCTCGACGTTTGAAAAGTAGATCTTAACACAAAAATTGTGGGCACCCCTGATGTACAGGGTTCTTTCCATATGAGTTCCTTACATATGAATGTTCTGCATTCTGCTATGTAGCGCTGCACAATGGTTGCGCTTTCCTGCTACTTCAAATATTGCAAGTCTATGAGTTGGCTGATACATAGTAACAATGCAATCACCTTGCTGCTGATATCTTATCTGAGAATTGTTAAAGGAGAACTATGAGATGAGTGATTTCCACTCACCTCATGGTTCTAGCCGACCTGTGACAATGAGACTGTCACAGGTCGGCTCAGTACTACTGAGCTTAGGGTAACGGGAGGACGCTAGTTTGTGTCCTCCCATTACCCTAAGTAGAACTATGAGGAAAAGCCCTGACCCCATAGTTCTCCTTTAAGGAGAGTCATTGCACGGAGCAATTCATTTGTTGGTTACTTTATAATACTTTATACTTAATGGAATAATACACATATGAAAGAGCAAACTTGTAAAACATGTTAAAGTCATATGAAAAATTATTTTATGGTAAACATTGCACAAGAAATGTACTATCATTTTCTTTTATAGAAATACTTCTCTATAGGAAAAATTTCACTGCTGAAAATTAATTCAATGGAATCCAACAACACTGATTTTAGTTGCCTCCAGAACTCTAGTACTGACAGACTTCTGTACATTATGGTCACAGTTATTATATTTTACTTAATCCAAATGCATAAATGAAGCTCTACACTTGGAATTCCTAATTATGTTCTATGAAAAAATCAAGTGGTTAAACTTGAATTTAATAATTGACTGGACCTCACTTCAACAGTATTATATTTGGAAGATTGTGTGGCTTAAAATGGACACTGCTGAAGCCCTGGAGGTAAGAAAGGTATGTCCAGTAAAAGAGAACTATGGCCTAACCTTTTTTTGCCATAGTTCTCTTCAGGGTCACAGGAGGATATATATTATGTCCTCCTGTGACCTAAAACTCATCATATTGCTGGCTATTGCCCCAGTATAATACTTGGAAGATTGTGTGGCTTACAATGGATACTGCTGAAGCCCTGGAAGTAAGAAAGGTATGTCCAATAACAGAGAACTATGGCCTAAGCTTTTTTGGCCATAGTTCACTTTAGGTTTACAGGAGGACATATATTAAGTCCTCCTGTGACCCAAAACTCAGCATATAGCAAGCTATTGCCTGCTATATGCTGACAGCGCAGACCCACGCCGTAGCTGTCTGTGCCTGCGCCCTCTCCCGTCCGTTACTCCAGCCAGCGCTGGAGGAATAGAGAGGGGAGGGAGGGAATACCTGCGGGAGTGATGACTGACAGTCCATTTTTGGAGTTTTGCTTGGAATGTGTCAGGTTTGGCTTTTTTTTCTCCACTCTTTTGTGCCATACCAATGCAAACAAAATAAATAAACATGAGAATGCCTAAACATTTGTAATTGCAACTATTTTCTGTGCAAAGTGGTGCATTATCTGACAGAAATGCAGGGGTGACAATATTTAGGCCAAGACTGTATATGTGTGTTTAGTTCTACTAGACAGACTATATTCAACTGAAGAGTAAGCACTTTGCATGCAAAGAAGACAGCATGGCATCCAAACACACAAATGATAATTGTCCCATGAAAGGTTAGTATACCATTTCATACAAAACCTAACCTCCTTCTCTCCACAGATGTTGCTGATGATGGAGCTGGATGATGGGCTGAAAGATGGGCCCAGAACCCCTAAAACTCCTTTGGGTAAGATCTGGCACACTGCAACAAGGAGATAATTGTTTTCACATTCATAATTTTTACATTAATAGTTTTCACATACAAAATTCCAAATTTTCATGCAATTCTTAATGTAATCGTTTCTACGGAGGGAAGAGAAGCATAATTTAATAAACATTTATATATAGTAAAATACATCACAATCACTACAAGCACATATTTTAGCATTTTCTACATATATATGTACATATTCACATCCCTTTGCAGCTGTTAATAAAACACATTCATGTTTTTTAGTAGCGTTTAGTGGAATGGTTCTATGGCCCAGTTTTAAATGCTGCAAGCCAATGGTCGCAAAGTATATCACCTGTCTAACCAGTTCCACTGTGCCGGAAACCATTTATTTTTGGTAAATGAAGCACCACAGACCAAGTTGCATTTAAAGCAGAGCAGAGTCCCTGGTAATGGTGTAGGAGATGCAAGGGGCTCAGTACTGCAGGATATGACTCTTCTTCCACAATCAAGGGGTTTAGTACTGTTACCATGACAAATACATTTCAAGTGGCATGTCTGAATTGTTTTGCAAGTTGTGCCAATTTCCCTATTCATCCAAGGCCCTGTCAAACTGCAATGTGTACCACACAATATTTCCCATTTATTTCTTCTGCACACCATTGCAAAAGGCGTTAGGAACAACAAAAAACGCTTACTACTATGCTTGTCTGACAAAATGTTGTCTGATCACATTTCACTGGTAAAATAAAAAAGGAGGAAGGATGTCAAAAACAAAATAGTGCTTCTATGCTATTGCACTTAAAGTATATGTCCAGCTGAAACTTTAATGATAGTTTTAAACAGAAAGAGGAAAAGTTAGAACCCCTGTTGGCATTTAACAATACCTGGAGCTCTGTTAAGGTGCCCATACACTGCACGATTATCGTACGATAATCGTATGCGATCGGGTTTTCGTACGAGAATCGAGCAGTGTGAACGGAGACGTGCGACCGTTTCTACTGTACGGTCGCACGTCTTCTGTCGAACCAGCATGTTCGAAAACCAGCCGGGAATCGTACGATTCTCGGCTGGTTAGAACGGTGCTCGGAAGATAAATGCTGAACGGGCCGGTGTGCGCACGCGCACACTGCCCGTTCAGCATTGCGGTCATCGGAAGCCCGCCCCTCAGGGGGGCGGGCTTGCGATGATCGAGAGTGCGATCTGCCTGTCCAAGATAGGCAGATCGTACGTTTTTTTAATCCCTTTACAACCATCGCAAGACTAAAGTCTTGCGATGGTTGTAGAGTGTATGGCCACCTTTAGAGAGATTTCCCCTCACTTACTGTCCTGCTGACAGTCCTGTTTTACCAGATAGGAGGTTAAAGAAAATCTCCAACAGTAACACTGAGAGCAATAATGAATATAAAGGTTTTTATAAATCGTAAAAAAAAAAACATAAAACATCAAAGCACAAAAATCTGAACCCAAAAACATTAGTTTCCCTTAAAAAACTAGACCATACGAATATAGTATCTCAGCCCATTTATTTCGGTCAAACATAGTCCTGTCCTGTAGTGTCCAATAATCAGGATATTATGTAGTGGTTAAGCTACACTATCCACATACAAATGATGTCTATTTAAACAGATCTGACTCCTTCTGTTACCAACCCAAATTGCGGAACTATCATTTTGAAAATTAAAGGCTGGTTTTGGAATCACAGTATGATGTCACTGGGCTGTACAGTTCACATAAGGGAAAGAGTAAATAACAGAATCTTGGTACCTGCAGGGATTGGGTTGTATGATTGGGATCACGGTTATAAACACATTCACCGTGATAGCATTTTTTTTTTTAATTATCAAAATAATCCTTTTAGGTGAAAACTGAACATTTCTTAAAACATTTATATAACATATATTATTCAGAAACAGCAAGCAAATCAAGCTATGGTCTGTCAGCATGCGCCCCCACTGTTCAACAAGGGAGGTTTATTATTTTGCAGTGTCAGGTGAAAGGGGCAAATGCCAGAGGACATAAATGAGGATGTGTGTGTGCAGCCAGTCTTCATAGCAACTGATGATGAGCCAGATATTGGGCAAACAACTGCACACATGACTTTACCTGGCATATGTACACCACAGATGTGCATTATAAATGCATCACATATTCAGTGGTAAATAATTACTGAAACTATATTTCCTGCTTGTGTAATTACCCTTCATCTATCACAGAAGTCTAAACAGAGACTAAAGTAGGGTACACACGGTACGAATTTTGACCGGTTGGTGCCCCTGCCTGCACCCGGCATCCCTCGATCAGCTGATCAAACGAGCCAGTTGGAAAATTCTCGGCCGCACGGAGCTGGCAGCCAATCAGGTGCTAGCATTTGGTTATTCTGAATACAATGCAAACAGCGGGGGATTTGTCCATCAAGGCTCGTGCGTATTTAATCTGTTGGATGGAGGAATCTGTTCTATTTTTTCTTTCAGCCTGCGGGTTAAACGAAAAAAATAGACATATGTACACCTGACTTAAGGTAAATGTCAGACATCCCCAGCTCTCTCCAAAAGTTTACTGCAGTAAGCCTTTCGTCTTCAATGTAACTGGCCATACATCTCAAAAGTGAGGATGCATATTTTCTCTTATTGCAATGCTGAGACTAATCAATTAATTATAGTAGGTGATAGTGAGTTTGAAGAAGCTACTGCTGTCCCTTGTCTCAGTATCTACATAACAGTAGCACGTAACCTGGAATTATTTTCTGTAAAATGTTTTATATACACATAGGTTTGCCAAAATGGGCTGTTTCTCCTCAAAGCAAATGTGGAGTTTAACTTTAAAAGAACAACTTCCTTACTCCATATTTTGTCTTTTGCATTCTCAATACCAAATTTTTGGTAGTACAGATTGAAGATGCAAATAAGCTATGGGGGGTTGATGGGTTTGATTTAATAAAGGCAAATAGGCTGTTCACTTTGAAAGGGAATTCATACTTTCATGGGAAGGTTCCCCTTAGCTTGGTGAAAGTGGTGAAATTTCACTTTGCAAAGAATGTCCAAACATGTGCAGGGAAAATAAAAAACAGTAATTGCTCTTGCACATGACTGGATTATGGAAGTCAGTGGAGCTTCACCTCATTCACTAAAAAAGTGGAACATTCCCTCTGCAAAGTGCAAATTACCTTGGAAAGTGAACAGTGCATGTGCCCTTAGCAAATCAACCCATATATCTCCATTGGATTGGCCTCCACAGGGCTGAGCAGTAGATAATGTTTGGTCTCAACAGAGCTACAATTCCTGTGAAATGTGCTGTGCTATCTTTCCCTGTAACTGGACCCAGCACATGCCCAATTATTGCACAAAATACTAGATGAGAACAAAACCACTCCCTAGCCCTGGGCTGACAGCACCAATGGCAGCCTGATTATGCACTACCATTAGTAAATCTGATGAGTAGGGTGAAGGAGTGAGTGAAGTTATTTTTCGAAGAAGATAGATTACTGTTATTTTGGAGTGGCTCACATTGATAATACTAGGGGAAATTTCAGGCAACTGATATAGGTATGTTTGTAGCATTAGAAAAAAATACATACTTGTTTCTGCTGTTTCGTACTCGCTGTCTCTTAAAAGCTCAAAGATGTCAACCTCGAGTTTGGATTTTCCTTGCCTTTCAGGGTTTCGATTTATTCTATCCTTGGCCAGTGTAATGGAAAGTCTCTCTCCTCTACTGCATTCCATGGGGTCATCCAGAATCGCAGCTGGTGAAAGAAAAAACTATATTTTTATTTTCTTTTGTTTTTGCTTTTGTGACACTGTTATATCACAGAACGACTTCAGCAGGGAAAACACAGCTATAAAAAAATATTTCAGTGGAAATATTGGTAAATTCTCCAGCTGTTGACTGATATATTGCTATATTTTGTTCAGGTGGTGTACACAAGTCATAGCAATACAAGTATCACTCTTTGGCCAGCTATATAAGGACCCTTTCATACGGGTGCTTATGTAGTAATGTGCATGTTTGATGAATTAATTTGTGTAAATGTTTGAGCAAGTGGGTTTATGTACACTCTATACATGCCACATGTTTATTCTACATGCAAATGAAAGAAGGACATTTTAGAATGGAAATTTGTCATAGGGCAGATGCACTACAAATGCTATAAAAATTCTAGAAAAACAATGTACAATGAAGCAGATCCTTTTTGGATATACACGACAATTTATACTTGATAAAGAATTGATTTAAAACATTAAGAAAGTACAAAAAGCAACTTGATAAATTCAGATAATAATCTTGGTATTGCTGGTGATAAGAGGAATATCTGAAACAGGGTCCCCAGGATCTTTGATCTGCAAAAATCCTTGTATGAATAGGTATAAACAGAATATTATGATGGGTTTTCTATAAATAATCTTTTTGCAAGATGGAGAAATGTTTTTTTTTTTTTTTTAACAATAGATATTTATTAGGATTTTATATAAAACATCATATAGTAATAAACAAACATATGGCGATGCATACAGGAAGGATTGAGACTACAGGTAAATTACACAAAAGGTGAATCAACCGAGTGACATAGCTAGGGATCAGTCAAATAAGTATCTTCCATGACATGAGGATATACAATATACATATAGATTGAACAAGAAAGAAAACAATACAACAAAAGCAAGAGTGTTACATGGCAAAATAGGGAGAAAAACATCAATGTTAGTGCCCATATGAAAGTAGTTGTATGATAAAAAAATATCTGATAGGAAAGAGATGAATTGGTTTATGGACATATACGTTGATGAGTACTTATGGTGGACATGAGGAAAGAGCAAGGGGGAAGGGAAAGTTTAGGGAGGTAAGTAAAAAAAAAAAAAGGGAATATCAGAGATGACAATGAAGATCATGAAATATGCATCGTACCGCGATTATCTGTTAAACAACTAGCTCAATTTGTGGAGAAGGTCTTTTCCCTGAGATTGGCTCTAGCAAATAAGCGTTCAAAATGAGCATGAGTATTAAGTATTTGGATCACTGAGTGTAAGGGAGGAGCATTTGATTGTTTTCTGGCTCTTGCGATAGCAAGTCTTACTGCTTTGACCATATAGGACACAACCATTCCACACGTAGGGGGCCAATCAGATAGACCTATTCCTAAGAGTGCAAGTTGTGGAGAAGGGGTGCAGAGGACAAGGGTGACTGCAAAAATAAGTTTTAAAAACTTCCATCCAAAAGCTTTGAATCGCCTCCAAATATGGGTGAGGGAACCTGTATGACCACAATTCCGCCAACCAAGGGAGGAAGTAAAAGGAAAAATTTTAGCTAATCTTTGAGGTGTAAAATACCACTTATGAAGTAGTTTTATGAGAGCTTCCCAATGGTTCAAACATTTAGACGTTCTCACAGTCCAGGATATGGTTTTGTGCCATTGTTCAGGTGAAAGTGTGAAGTTCAACTCATTCTCCCACCAGATCATGGATGGCAGTTTAACCATTGAGTTAGCTTCATTAAGCAAATTGTAAAAGCAAGAGATTCCTTTACGTAATGAGGTGGTTCTGTTGTAGAAGGATATACATCTTCTGATGTAGAAATTATCCCTAATATGCTAAGGGATAGACATGTGCACCAGCAAAAAATGTGTTTAGTTTAGTTTCGTTTTGAAAAAAAAAAAAAAAAAATTGTTTAGTTTAGTTTCGTTTTGAAAAAAAAAAAAATTTGTTTAGTTTAGCTTCGTTTTTCGGGTCCGAAATTAAATTAGTTTCGGACTAAATTCGTTAGCGGTAGTCCTGCCGAAATTCGTTTATGAAAAAAAACAAAAAACTTTACTCTCCCATGGCTGGAATTGAACCAGCAAACTTCACAATGGCAATCAATGGCAAGCCTGTACCTCTAACCGCTACTCTATAGCCTCTGTACTCTAGCCAGAGCAGCATTTGATATATATGACTGCAATATGGCCATGGCTCGCTCCGCCCATCTGTTGACTTTCAAACTGAATGTCATTTTTGTTAGTTTTCGTCAGATTCGGGTGGTCGTCTGCGGCGGGACTTTTTTTATTTCGGCGGGTCGGCGGGGGTGCTGCATCTTGATCCTGACTCTGGATTACATCGATGGAGCCATTTTTTTTTTCATTTTTTTATTAAAGGAATAGTCAAAAATTGACTGTTTTTTTTTCAATTAAAGGATTACATTTTTTTATTAAAGGAATAGTCAAAACCCCACGCACTTTTTTTGTGTTATAAGGGGGGGAGGGGGGTCCCTCCTAACATTCCCTCCTCATGGTTGCATTGATCATGTCTCAGAAGGACTTGTTAGGGTTATACCTTCAGGTTGGCTGAAAGCACAGCACTTTCTATGGAACTCCATAACTTATCTGATTGTGAGGACCACCAATGGGAAACCTGATCGAAAATAGTGGCTTTGTAATATTTGCTGATATCGGGGGCTCCCATATCTGCATATTTCTTAGGCGCATATAAACAGGTTTAGAGATACAATGTACCCCCCCCCAATAAAGGAGTCAATTATGCGTTGAAGTGTTCTCAAACATGACAGTAAGATAAGAATAGGAAGGGCCCGAAAAAATATATAGTGTATGAGTAAGAAGGAACATTTTAGCTAAGTTAATTCGTTCTGGCCAAGAAACCGTAGAGCAACTAAGATCTTAGCATAATTCTTTAAGTTTGGTCAGCGGAGGAATGTAGTTAAACTTAAATAGGTTAGAGCTAGGAGACGTGAGAGTGACACCTAGGTAATTGAGGGCAGTTCAGAGAGCCCACGAAAGGGGAGGCGGAATCAATGAGGGTTTTTTTTTTTTGCTTGTGTATATTGATCGCTAACATATGTGATTTGTAATGGTTGACTTTATAGAAAGAAACATTTCCAAAATGCAGGAGGATTTGTTGTACTGCTGGTAGTGAGCGTAGAAGAATAATGAGAAAAATTATGACATTGCATAAAAACCTAATTTATGCATATGCTAATCAGTAGAGATGCTGGTGACTTCTTGACTTTGCCGAATAGCAGCAGCCAAAGGCTCCATAGCCAGGGCAAAGATTAGGGGGGCGAGGGGGCCGTTGGGAAAGGATAAAGATAATAGACCAGAGCTCCAGACTCTTGCACTTGGGTGGGTGTATAAGGCTCTAATAGCAGATCCTAGGAAGTCCACAATGCCAAATGTATGTAAAACCGCTCTAAGGTAGCCCCTATGTACGCTATTGGAAGCCTAATCTGCATCCAGAGAAAGGAGCAGAAAAGGCTGCCGACAGTGCTCAGCCCACTGTATTATGTCTATAAGCTGCCGCGTACCATCAGGAGTCTGTCTACCATAAATTAAACCCGCTTGATCTGGGTGTATCAGGCGAGGGAGCATATGCAGTTATCTGTTGTCAATGAGTTTAGCATATATTTTAGAGTGTTTGTATTTAGTAAGCATATAGGGCAGTTGTTGGTGGGATCCTCTGCGTATTTATTGGGTTTGGGGATAGTAATGATAAGGGCTTCAGGTGATTCTTTGTTAAGGGAATCCACAGTCACGGCCCCATTTGCAACAAGACATAAAAGTGGGACTAAAGTAGATGAAAGAGTTTTAAAGTACTCAGCACTGAAACAATCAGGGCCAGGGGCTTTATATAAGGGGAAGCCAGAGATCACCTTGAGAATTTCAGTTGTGGAGAAAGAGGACTTCAGCAGTTGTGTGTCATCTGAAGAGATCAAGGGGAGAAATAATGAATTGAGAAATTTGTTAATGTCAGCTGGGTCGGGAATACGGGAAGTAGGTTAGTCTTTTAAATTATACAGGGAGGAGTAATACCCACTTAAATAGTTAGCAATGTCCAGGGGATTAGGGGGGATTACTTTTTTCACTCTTTTTCTGTTCTGCTCGGTCCCTCTGCTTAGTGGCATTCGGCTATTCACTCACTGCTGTTCGGGATCTTTAAGAATAGCCCGAACAGCAGTGAGTAGCCTGCCGGGGGTTCGGCTCAGCCGATCCAGATGTTGGATCGGCTGAGTCGAACTCCTTCTGCACTTCGGGTTGGCTGAACATGCTGAGGATGTTCGGCCGACCCGAAGCCACACGAAGCAAGCCGATATACGGCTAATTTTAGCCGATGTACGGCTGAAATTAGCCGTACCAGCCTGAAGTGAATAGCCGAACAGTGTTCAGCTCACTTCACTTCAGATCGGTCATTCACTCGTCTGCCCTCGTCAGCTTCGTGAATAGACCCCATAGTCTAGGAACGGGAAGAGAGCAACTTGTCTGAAGTTAGGATCAGATCACAGAAGCTGATATGCCAAACACATTCAGCCACCTATAAATACAGGGTGCTAAGATGGATGGTACCATTACATTTTCAAACAATGTTCTTTACCACACACCTCTGTTTTGCAAGGTAGAGATTTATCGAACAACCATCATGGTCAAGTTGAAACAAGCAACCTCTGGGGACTGCGCAAGGCCCCTTTGTCAAGGCAGAATGACAACATTATTTGTCAATCATGGTCAATTTGCCTTGACAAGGGGCTTGATATGATCCCAAAAGGGTTGCATATTTTAAGATGACCATCATGGTTTTATTGTGATCCGGTCACATTTATTCTTTCATGGTGTATACATTTTTTGGTGCACCTATAGAAACCGGGGACATAGAAGCAACATTATATGTATGTGTAATAATAAGAAAACTCGGTCTGCACTGAATGCATTGAAAATCAGTGTTTAATCAGTTGGACACGTTCTTGAATTGCAATTATGCATATTAG